GACGTCTTCAACGACGCATGGATACCAAATGCCCCGCTTTTCCCTGGAAATGTGGAATAGTCGCGAAGGAGTAAGACACCTTCTGAAGACAAATAATTCATTCGAAGGATGGCATCGTCGATTCGAAACGCAATTATCTGCACAACGCCCTAATATCCGGATGTTTATTGAAACGATTCAGCGTGAGCAAAGCATCAGAACATTGCAATTTGGACAATATGTAAGTGACCAAGGTAGCCCTGCGCGTAAGAAACACAGGGATTGCGCCGAAAAACTTTTCAGAGTAGTTGCGATTTATGACAGAAGTAATGTTTTGGAATTTTTGAGAGCTGTGGCACATGACATAAATTACTAATTAGGTATTGCGTGTAAATAATGTTTCAGAAGTTTTTTTCAATAAAATTATTCCATTGAAATTCTGTTTCTGTTTTATTCGAAATTTAGAGGTACCCACATCATTATCATTTTCAGGTAAATTAATTCAAAATCAGCAGATTTTCATTTTATAGAAATAATGACAATAATTTATGGTATTATATAAATTAAGTTTTTTATGTTTCATGGTTTTTAATAAATAAACCATCAGTGATCAATTGTAGAGTCGGTGAATTTTCCGTTCGACGAATTGCTGATCGGTGAATTTTCCCAGATCCCATAGATAGAATAGTCAGGAACAGCTAAGGCGACGAGTGTACCGGTGTAGGAGATGTGGAGACGAGAAGGTTGCTGATTCCAAACGACATATTTTACTTGCATCTTCTAAAACTGATCTACAATGCTCCCTGGAAGGTTCGCAGCCGAGTGCGACGTGACCGGCATGCGTCTGAATGCATCTAAAACGAAAAGTCTAGTGATTTCTTGCTCTTCTACCTGTTGCTCTTTTCAGATTAACGGCGAGGCAGTGGAGCAAGTGGAGAAGTTCAAGTACCTCTGAACTGTATTTAATAGTGATGGAATATGTGAGGAAAAGATCGACCGGCGAAATGGAGTGACCAGTGGCGTGAACTAGCCCGTACCATTGTGACTAATTAAGAGTCAAGTCTGAAAGATAATATCTCAATACTGACGTCAGTCTCCATCCGCATGCTCATATAAGGTGAGGTACCATGTCTCGTGACTGAACAACTGTGATTCCGGGTACAAGCGGGTGAATTGGGCTTTGAGACACGAATCGCTAGCCTTACGCCTCTCGACATTTTCTGGAATAGAGACATCCGCGAAAGCCTTGATATAGTTACTGCTTCTTCAGGTTGACAAGCCACAGCTACGATGGTTTGGGCATGTGCTGCGAATTCCTTCAGACAGAAAGGCGAAGCAACTGCTTCTTGCCCAGGCGACCGGCGGAACGCTCAAAGAATGGTCGAGATTAACC